CTGGTTAATTGTCCTCACTTTTGGGAAATTTATTCTTAGTTCCAGGTTGCTTCCCTCTTTGATTAGTCTCCATCCATTGCTTTTTGTCCTGCTTTCTGGTGCTTTGGAGAATAGGTTGACCCCCTCTTCTTTGGGGCAGCCCCTCAAATATTGGAAGATTGCTATCATGTCACCCCTAGTCCTTCTTTTCACTAAACTGCCCAATTCCTGCCACTTTCTTTTGTATAATCTACCCTGTTTTCCCGAAAATAAGACCTCCCCGAAAATATTGCAATGCAGCAGCAGCCAAGAGGTGACCCCACTCGCCGCCTCCTGCACCTCAAAAATAATAAGACCTCCCCAAAAACAAGGCCAAGCACTTATTTCGGGGGGTCAAAAGAAAATAAGACCCTGTCTTATTTTCAGGGAAACACGGTATATTCTCCAGTCCCCTAATTATCTTTCTTGCTCTTTGCACTCCTAAATCTCCTCTTTCTCCTGCCTTATAAATCTTGACTTGTAATCCACGCTTATCCATTGGAGTTGCCAACCTACCAGCTTTCCCCGCTGTTGCGCCGAGCGACTGTCTCGCAGAGCGTAGACGTTCCCGCAGACCGAGATCTCCCGCCAGACTCCCGGGGTGGAGTCTTCGCTGAAACCGCCGCTGGGGTGCATCACAAGCACGCCGTTCGTGGTCAAGCCATCCATGAGCCCGTCGGGAGTCCTCCATTTCGCAGCTCTCTCCTGCCAACGAGAGATGTGGCGCTGAAGTTTGGTTTTAAGGTCCCGGTTAGCCAAATGCCCCACCTGCTCCTCACTCAAACCTACTCGAGTCAAAGACAACCAGAATCTAGGTCCGTTAGGGCGAACCTGTGGCGAAGGTGGCACACAGAGCCCTCTCAGTGGGCCTGTCAGCTGTCGCCCCAGCTCAGCCTCCCGCTGGCCACCTGATTTTCGGGTCTCTGCCATGCATGGGGGGGGGCGCATGTGGGAGACATTCACGCAGGCATGGGGGGGAGCAGGGGGAGCATGGAGTATGGGTGCAGCACGCCATGTTTTTGCTTTAAGAAGGCTAAAGGGAGGCTGAAGGGAGGTCTAGACCCAAAAGGGCGGGGCGGGAAGGCGTTCACGCATGTGCATGGGAACAGGAACGATTTTGCTCCCAGGAGGCTGCAGAGGTCCTACTAGGCCCAAAATGGGGCATGGAGGAAGTGTATGCACATAGGGGGGGGCAGGCGGTGGGGGGGGTTGCTCCCAGGTGAGTGCAGGAAATCCCATGAGGCCCAAATGGGACGTGGGACATGTGGTGCATGCCCCCGCTCCCCATTTCTGCTCCCAAGAGGTTGTAGGGAGTCCTAATGGGCCCAAAACAAATTGCGGAGGGGGTGCATGCATATGCACACCGGGGGGTCGTGTTTTTTCTCCCCGGAGGTTGCAGGGAGGCCTACTGGGCTCAAAATTGAGGGTGGGGAACTCATATGTGCATGCATGGGGGGAGAGCACAGGGGAGCGCGCACATGTGCAGGGAGGTGGGGTACATGGGGGGTGTTGTTGCACGTACATTGCATTATAGCACGCAAGGTAATCCTTGAGTTACAACTGTTCGTTTAGCAACGGTAGGAAGTTACCACACACATTAAAACATTCTCATGGCCATCGGTGAGAGACTCTTTGGGTTTCAAACGAGCCTTTGATCAGTTGCTGGCCAGTTGCAAAAGCGGCTGTGCCCCATTGGGTCCCTGAAAAAATACAGCTAGTCCTGTATAAATGAACAACAGTTCATTTAGCAACCACTCAAAGTTACAACGGGTCTGGCAAAAAGTGACATGACCGTTTTTCACATTTACAACCATGGCCGCATCACGTGATCAAAACTCAGACATTGGGCAAAAGCTTCGTAGTTAGGACAGTTGCAGTGTCCCAGGTGGGGTGTATGTGTGTCACATGATCCCCTTTTGCGACCATCTGACAAGCAACATCAATAAAGAAGTTCAGATTCACTTCACAACCATGTTACTAAACCATGCGGCTACTCCCTTAACGACTGCAGCAAGGAAGTCCGTAAAACGGGGCAAAACTCATGTGCCACTGTAGTTCAGTGAATCACTGCAGTATGATAAGTTAGTAGTCCAGTTGTTAAGTGAATCTGGCTCCCCCGTTGACTTTGCTTCTCAGAAGGTCACGGAAGGGGGAATCACGTGACTTCTCCCCCCCCCCCCGCGCGCGCAGAGGGACTCTGCAACCGTCATAAAAATGAACCAGTGGCCAAGCATCTGGATTTGGGTTATTTGCTGCCTCTGATATCAGCGAGGCAGAAGAACAACAGGAGCCTGTTCCCAGTGTACATGTGCGCAGAGCTGCCAGAAGGCAAGGACAATTAAGAAAACAGGGTCGACTTGGGGGTAAGGCTTGGAGATGAATGACCCCTCCCATAAGACATAAAAGAGGAGCGAACGGAATGTGAGCTTTTGCAGGAAGCAATTAGTTCGTCTGGTCGGTTCAAGCTTTAAAAGTTCTGCTTGCTCTGTGCTAAGTTTGGCCTTGCTCTGCATTTGACAATTAGCTCCCTGGCAGCATTCCCAGGGAGATAAAGGTGGGTGTTTATCAACATTCCCCTGAAAGACTGCGGCAACTCGAGCAGACATCTGTCCGAATCTTCGCAGGCTGTTTGTGAAGCCTCGCGGACTGTGAATGACCATAATTTACAGCCATATAAATAAAAGAAGGTTTAGAGGACTCAGGTTGCGATTTATGCTTTCCCAGGAAGCCTAGGTCGGAACACATAAGTGACTATTTCCAGTGCCGTTGTAACTTTGGACGGTCACTAACTGTTGTAAGTTGAGGACTATCTGTACACACGCATACGCACACAAAGGCTGCTTGGTGACTCACTCACTCCAAGGAAAATGTTGCGGGAAGCGTCGAAACCGGCGGCGTAAATCCGGGCCGTATACGGAGGATTTCTCTCGCAAATGACCCGGCAAGCAAAGCGGGAGATAGTACTTTGGGCTGTCTGCCCATCCACGGATGAGTTTGTGCCCGGCGTGGTGTCGGTCACCACAAAATCGATCATGCTCTCTGTCGAGCGGCCGATCTGGGAACAGAGAGATGAGGAGAAGGAGGAGACTCAAGTCAGCGGCCCAAATTTTAACAAGAAACGAACGTTTTTCCTTTTATCACAAAGCGGACATTTTTTCCCTTCTTTCCAAAACACTGGTTTTATTTTTCTCTAACGGTCAATCAATCAATGTCCATTTCTTTCTGATCAATGTCGATCAGAAAGGTTGGCGGTTCGGCGGTTCGAATCCCCAGCGCTGCGTAACGGAGTGAGCTCCCGTGACTTGTCCCATCTTCTGCAAACCTAGCAGTTTGAAAGACGGTAAAAAATGCAAGTAGAAAAATAGGGACCACCTTTGGTGGGAAGGGAACAGCGTTTCATGCGCCTTCGGCATTGAGTCATGCCAGCCACATGACCACGGAGACGTCTTCGGACAGCGCTGGCTCTTCAGCTTTGAAACGGAGATGAGCAGTGCCCCCTAGTGTCGGGAACGACTAGCACATATGTTCGAGGGGAACTTTTACCTTTATCTTCAGCGGTTAATCTAAGATGGGTTTTTTAAATCACTGTTTTTAAATTATTTCAGTGTCTCTGGCCAGCGTACAGGTAGTTCTCGACTTAAGAGCACAATTGAGCGTTTTGTGACTTTCCCACCGAAGTGATACCTATTTATCTACTCGCATTGGCATGCTAGGTTGGCAGAAGCTGAGGGGAGGATGGGAGCTTGTCCCATGATGTGGCAATCGGGTCTTGACAAGCCCAGCTTCTTTAACCATAAACCAATGGCCACAGTACTGTGAGTCACACCCACCCACCCAAATTTGCCTTTTACAGGGGCTAAACAGCTCCCCATGATGTCATCTCTGGAGGCCCAGCAAAGGTGTTCTGTTCTGACCCAGCTCCCCATACACAACAAACCCTCTGAAGTTAACTCAAAGATTCCTTTATTAGGAGCGCCAGCAGCCGCGGCAAAAAGTTTCTCTCTCAACGCGGGCTAACAAGTCCGTCCATCCGAGAGACGAATAGTTGTCGGCCACATCTATTCATCTCCGCCCCCTGCCTTTTATCGCCAGAGCTAAGGTGGAGCTTTGCTAGCAGTGGTGGCTCTTCCGTCCCAAGGACCGGCCCATAGATTTCCACTGCTCTCCTCTCCTCTGCCTTTTGCCCATCTGTGCGTCAGACACTGGACCCAGCTGTTCCTCCTCTTCCTCCTCAGCCACCTGGGGGCTGTTGACTCTCCATCTGAGGGCTGATGGACAGCCCAGTCTCTGCCTCTCTCCCTCTCTCTGTCTCTCTCTCTCTCAGTCTCTCTCTCAGTCTTTCTCTGTCTCTCTGTCTGTCTGTCTCGGTCTTTCTCTCTCTCTCTCTCTGTCTCCCTCTGTCTCTCTCTCAGTCTTTCTCTGTCTCTGTCTGTCTCTGTCTTTCTCTCTCTCTCTCTGTCTCCCTCTGTCTCTCTGTCTCTCTCTCAGTCTCTCTCTCAGTCTTTGTCTGTCTGTCTGTCTCTGTCTTTCTCTCTCTCTCTCTGTCTCCCTCTGTCTCTTTCTCTCTCTTTCTCTGTCTCTGTCTCTCTCTTGGTCTCTCTCAGTCTTTCTCTGTCTTTCTGTCTCCCTCTGTCTCTCCCTCTGTCTCTCTCTGTCTCTGTCTCTGTCTGTCTCTGTCTGTCTCTCTCTGTCTCTCTCTCTCAGTCTCTCTCTCAGTCTTTCTCTCCCTCCCTCCCTTCCTCCCTCCCTCCCTCCCCCTCTCTCTCTCTCTGCCAGTTCAATTCCCGCTTCCCCCTTGGAGTTCTCACATTGCCTTGATGCTGACCCTGACCCTCACGCCTCCTCCTCCTCCTCTGATTCTGCTGCTGGAGGGGCCAGCGGCCAACAGCCCACAGCATGTTCCCTCCCTCCCCCGGACCTGATAAATACCTGGAACATGTCCGTCTCGCCATCTTGAGTATATTCGACAATGACCGAATGGCTCCGGGAAAGCGTGTAGGAGATGCTGTGTTGACCTCGGTCGCTCAGCGCCTGTAGGATCAGACAAGTAGTTACAACACTTCGTTTACAACTTGCGACTTACGACGCTTCATTTAGTGACCGTTCAGAGTTACAAGGGCAATTGAGCCCGGCATTTCTGTTGCTAGGTAAGGCATTACTGAAGTGTGTTTTGTCCCATTTTATGGCTTGCCACGGCGGTTCAGTCAATCTCTGCAGGCGTTAAATGAGTCGCCCCGTCGCTAAGTGAACCTGGCTCCCCCCACTGACCTGGTTTATCGAAAGGTCGCATGAGGGGAATCACGTGACCCCACGGCTCTGCAGCCGTCATTAAGCAGGAACCAGTTGCCAAGCGCCTGAATTTTGGTGACGTGATGCTGCAGCGGTCGTAAGTGTGGAAAAACAGCCGTAAGTCTCTTTTCCCGGTGCTGTTGTCACTCTGAATGGTCGCTAAATGAACGGTTATAAGTCGAGGACTAACTGTAATTCTGACTACGTTTCCCCATTCGGAGCAATTGGTGGTGTTGGTGGTGAATGGGGCAGGGAAGGCACTTTGCCCATGCTCAGAATCTCTCTTTACACACAGCCTGAGGTTTAAATAGACCATTGGCTGGGTGGTGGTGGTGGTGGAAGGAGGGGCATTTCTGCAACCACGGTCGGTGGCTTGACTTACTTTGGACATCAGTGGCGTGGAGATATGGTGGATGACGTCCGGTTTCACACCGTTGGCTTTGGGTCGCTTGTAGAGGGCCAGCCGGCTGCGGTGACGGCCTTTGTCTCCGTTAGCCAGAGAGCCATTGTACCTGCGTTTAACAGAATAACAGCGTTGGAAGGGACCTTGGAGGTCATCAAGTCCAACCCCTATCCATCCAAGCAGGAGACCCTACACCATTTCTGACAGAGGGCAGTCCAGTCTCTTCTTGAAAGCCTCCAGGGATGAAGCTACCACAACTTCTGAAGGCAGCTTCTGTTCCATCAGTTGATTCTTCTCCCTGTCAGGAAATTCCTCCTTATTTCCAGATTGAATCTCTCCTTGTTCCATTTCCATCATATTATTCCTTGTTTGGTGCTTTAGAGAATAGCTTGACCCCCTTCCTCCTCTCTGTGGCAGCCCCTCAAACATTGGAAGATGCTCTCCTGTCTCCCCTGGTCCTTCTCTTCCCTAGACTAGCCAGGCCCAGTTCCTGCAACCGTTCATCATAGGTTTTAGCCTCCAGTCCCCTCATCATCCTGGTTCTTCTTTTCTGCACTTTTTCTAGAGTTTCAACATCTGTTTTGTAGTGTGGTGACCGGTGTGTGTGTGTGTGTGGCTTCCTGCCAGCATTACTACCGGTTTAGTGCCTGAAAATTTTTGCAATCCAACCAGACTGGCTTGCAAAGTTCTGCTCACTCTCTGCCCCAAATAGGACAAAGTGATGGTGTTGGAAACCTATAGAAAACAAGTTGGAAGGGACTTTGGAGGTCTTCTAGTCCAGCCCCCTGCTCAATTGGGAGACCCTATATAGCAGTGGTCTCCAACCTTGGCAACTTTAAGACTTGTGGACTTCAACTCCCAGAGTTTNGAAAGAAAGAAGAAAGAAAGAAAGAAAGAAAGAAAGAAAGAAGAAAGAAAGAAAGAAAGAAAGAAAGAAAGAAGAAAGAAAGAAAGAAAGAAGGAAGAAGGAAGAGGGAGGAAGGGAAGGAAGGATGAAGGAGGGAAGGAGGAAAGAAGGGAGGGAGAAAGGACGAGGGAAGAAAGGAAGGAAGGCTGAAGGAGGGGGAGGGAAGGAGAGAAAGAGAAGAGTTTGTGTTGGCAATATGGCATCTAAACTTAATATAAGATCCTTTATCCCAAGGTGAATAGATTTCACACAGAAAGTACATTCTCAGTCTGTTATTTAGAACATAGAATTATAGGGCTGGAAGGAATCCTCAGAGGTCTTCTAGTCCAACCTCCTGCTCAAAGCCTTATACAATCTCAGTCAGATTTTAATTTTTTAAAACTTTTTCTCCAGAGAGACAGTGATGACTGCAGCCCATTATTATATTTTAACTGCTGGACTTGATTAAAACGGATACCACAAAGACAGCAATTTGCAAAGCATAATCTCACACCAGTCTGTCTAACGATGATATTTGAGACGTATCTGCTAGCAAGGCATAGAGAAAAAAAAACCGGGGCTAAAACTGCCAAAAATTCTCAGAGGTGAAACTGGGGGTGAAGGATTGTTAACATCATGTTGAAAAAAAGACAAAACAATATCGGCGCAGATATAATTTCACTGGCAACCAGCATGAGAAAAATTCTCAGCAAAATCTCTCTGCTACAAATGCTCAAGACCAATTCAGTAGAACTTTGATTTGGACAAAAACGATTTTTAAAAATATATATTTTACATTCGTTTTATAATTCCTGCAGCTTATTCTTTTGACCGGTAAGATTGTTGGTTCTCTGTAAGGATTTTTTTTGCATTCTAATTATCCTTTTATCCCATCCATTTAATGGCAAAGGACATTGTCTCCACAGAAAAACCACACCATGTTCGCATGAGAGAAAATGGATTCTTTTTCTTTTTTAAAGGTTGGTGGCAAAGTTTTCTCCTCCTCCGAAATTCCAAATCAGGACTGATAGAAATAGCACAAAGAATAGCTTAAAGAAAAGGCTGGCTCACTAGTTTGTCCTCTGAGGCTGTTGGACTTTTTAAAAAAAAAATCAATTATGAAGCCTTATTTGTAAAAACTGGAGCTTCACTTATCTATTGTCTGCTTGGGTTCACACGAATCAGGCAACATCTCATTGAAACCATCAATCAGTTTGCAACGTGAGACGGAGTCTGACAGCTAGGAAAGTCCTAGTTAACGTGGACACTCAAACTGAATTTGGCTGCTTTGAATCAGAACTGATCTGGGAAAAGCCCCATCAATGCAAAGACATCTGATTCGATGATCCGAACTGGCATTTCAATTCAGCTTGGGAAGAAAAACAGGAGGTTTAGAGGTTGGGTTCGATCAATGGGATGTACACGCCAGTCCATTATATCCACCACGAGAAATACAAGCCCATCCGTTGGAAGATAAAACTTTGTGGTTTTTTTTAATCAGACCAGTACAAAATTCGCCAGGCAAGTGAGATTCTTACGAATGGCTGATTGTGAATTGCACCAAAAGCTACACTTGTTTACAATCCCAAGTTTTTCAAGTGCCTGTAACTTTTTCTTTTTTTTTTGCATTTCGTCAAAACCGAATGGGATTTCAGGCACTTTAAACCACAGTGCGTGACACGCGCTAGGTTTCAGAGGCTTCAGCATAGAAGTTAAACAAACTCTGGACCACAATCTCTGCTTCTTCCCATCACTTCTGCAGCACACCCAGTAATACCATTTCTGGCGACGCTGCCAAAGATACACAAATGCAATCTATGCGAAGTGTTCCTCATAGCTAGAGACTCAAAGGTTCCTGCCTTTGCCACCTCCAAAATAATCTTCTAGATCAGTGTTTCTCAACCTTGGCGACTTTAAGTCCTGTGGACTTCAACTCCCAGAATTCCCCAGCCAGCTCTGCTGGCTGGGGAATTCTGGGAGTTGAAGTCTACAGGACTTAAAGTCGCCAAGGTTGAGAAACACTGTTCTAGATCCATGATGGTGAACCTGTGGCACACTTGTCCGAAGTGGCACATGGAGCCATATCAACTGGCACGCGTGGCGTTGCCCGTTCCTCTTCTGGGTTTCTGGTGCGCATGCATGTGTGATGATTACCTGGCCTTCGTGCGTGCGGCAGTGCTAGAAACTGGAAGAAACTGGTCTTCTCTTTTCCAGCTTAAGCATGTGCACAAGCCATCTGATCATTGTGGGTGCATGCGTGTTGTCACATAACTCCTTGTGCAGGTGTGGCGGTCACCCATGGCCCAGTACATAACAGGGCATGCGCAGCCACGCTGAACCACACAGGAAAAAACAAACTCCTAAAAGAACATAACATCCTGATAGTTCACTCTAGATGTGCCTTACCCAACGACGCTCAGGATTTGACCATATATAGACAGAACTTCCCTGAGCAGTAGATTAGCAATTGTAGTTTGA